TTCATGGGTAGCAAATGGCTCGACATTTTAGTGGGATAAGTGGGGTATTTATAAGAGAGTGGCCGGCCCTTAGGGTGAGGAGTGGCCATCCTTTATGGTGTATTTGGATGATAATTGCAAGATATTATGTGAAATAATATCTTGCAATTAACATGACAATTTTTCCTAATTTAAAGGAAGTTTTGGAAGTTATCTTTTGAATAAATCAATAAAGGATTGATGAGGAGTGATGAGAGGAATATGAAATAAATTCCATATTGATCATCTTTGACTCTTTCTTGATTGAGTCGTTATTGTCCGTTGCATGCACGTGGGTTGAGGGTAATCTCATCCTTCTTACCCAAAAATCCATGTGTCATCTCCATGACTTTTGGGATTATTTTTTGCTCCACATGTTGTATCATTGAAACTAGTTTCGTATTGCGTATCCAGTCAAAACAATTGATTCAACAAACACTTAGAGTTTATTCTATACTTCCATCAAGTGGAATGTAAGATTTTGTGGTATCCACTAGTGTATATATTTTAAATTGATGAGCGGGTTCGTTCATTGTATTCTTCTAGGGTTGAGGAGTGTAGTTGTTAAAAGTCATCAAAATTGAACCTAAATTAACTGTTAAATCATGATTTTTCGTTTCTAACTGTCGAATAATTTTGTCCTGTTACCTAACCCCCGAAAGTTTTTTCATTTTTTTATTGTTGGCAAATGTAATCCAGAGTATATAAAAACAAGTTTGACGGTTTGATTGTTGAAATTAATTTTGCAAATTGCGAAAATCATCGAAAGAATTGAATATGCCAATCATGTCCCTGAACTTTGCCCGACCCTACGAATTATAAACCTTGAAGCCTAAAATCTAAATCATAAAATATACCTTTGCGCGAAAACTTAACCCGATGACAAAAATTTTGCCTGTCAAATAGTATTCGTCAGGCAAAAGCCTTTGAAGAAGCCAATACATTGACTCTTTTGCCCGACGAACCTTTGTAATATGTCGAGTAAAGGTGTTTAGTCGGACGAAAGTACTATTTTCGTCGGGCAAAATTTTATAAGACAAATTAATAGTAACTTACGGCAGTGTTTCCATCTCCATCAAGCATGCACTACCAATTAATCTTTTCCCAATTGGATTGAAATTAGAACAATAAATGAAAGGGGGACGGTATATAAATCTTAAATGTAGAAAACTAGTAATGACTGGAGCTACCTTAGTTTTACGAATCAATTACTGAAGTTAATTGACGAGATGTCAGTATGATTTCTTGTGAGATGGTTGATAATGAGAGTTTTCTTAATTATATAGGCCTCCCCTCACAGAACCGATAGCTATTTTTTTAAAAGAGAAATTTATTTGTTATGAACCAACGATAGTATCTGGACTAAAAGGGTAGGGAAGAGGATTAAGTCTTATGCTGGGTAATCAATTATTAGTGAATCAAACTTAATATCTCTTATTTACGAGTAAAGAATAATATCATTAAACTGTAGTTCTAAATTATTTTAAAACAGGAATTTTAGAAAGCAGAAAGAGGGTCTTTATTTGGAACTGCTGCGTAATCAATCATTTTACTTTTATTAGGAATGAGCCTAACTGTTTGCTATATATAACTAGGGGTGGGTTCGGTACGGTTACCGTACCAAAACCCTCGTACCAATTACCGTACCAAATTTTCGGTTTGGTAAAATCTATTACCATTACCATACCAAACTTTCGGTATACCGAAGTTTGGTATTGCCAAATGTTCGGTTGGCATGGTATGGCAATGGTAATTGCCACTTTATTTTGAGACAAAATCTGTTTTTGCTTTGTTCAACATTTCATATTTTGTGCCTCTGTAATAAGACAAAGATATATAAACCAAATGAATGAAACCTTTCAAGACTATGGGAGGGAATAGAATCTTACTCCTAACCGTTGACATATCTATCTATACACACACACATATAAAAGAAGAAATAAATTGAATTTTGAACCCTCTCCAACTTCTAAAACAACTGGAGGAAGTTTCTCTAGTAATATTTATTATTGAACCTTTCTGAATCAATTATTTTTGGTGACCGTCGCGTATAACGACCCGACCTTGCCATGTTTGTAGCACGAGATCTGCACATGCATGCAGAATGAGTTTATATATGCATGTGGTGGTGAACTCACGAGCACATGTCCCATGCATGATATTTATGTTCATCTCTCATGAGACATTAGAGATGGCAAAAGATAGGGTTGGGAAGCATTACTCATATGGCATCATAATAAAAAGATCTCGATTTCTATTGTGCCTCAATAACAACCACAAAAATAAATAAATAAATATAAAAAAAGGAACAGAAAGAGAAACAAGAACTTTCCCAACTTGCCATGGAAAAATTAAAGTGTAAACCGTAGGCTATAATATTCACACACTTTATTTTTATTTTTATTTTTTACATTTCACATATCTTTGTTAATTTTTGTACATTGATCATTTTCAATTCATTTGATTCGACAACTGAATATTGAAAGGAGTGCGTGATAAGTAAAATTGAGTGTGAAGATCACCACCCTAAACTATAAACCAAGGGACGAGTGATTTGAAACCAAAACAAAAAGACCCATTAAACGTTTGTTTTGAAAAACCCCCAAATATGTTTGTTAGCGTTGGACATTAGGAGCTCATTGGAGTCATTTGGGGCAAACAAATTGCCAATGTAAAACCAAAAGAGCCTTTACTACTTTTCTTGGAAATGACCAATGATACAAGTGATAGCAATGGAGAATTAATTTAATTTCCATTTTCCACCCTTGATTGTATTTGGCAGACATAATCACCCTTCTCGTTGGAGAGGAAAATTGAAAAGGGATGCATTATTCAATTAAAGCGTAACATGTGTTACAAAATTTTATTATGAAAATTTCAACTTGACAGAGTCTGCTACAAGTGGTAAAAGTCCGTAGCCAAGATTTTTCCCTTCCGTATGATTCCCACCAAGTGTCAGATGTCGCTGATCGTACAGGCTCCCAGTTTGTTTAGCATCCGTCTCCCACCAGGTGTTATCCCGTTCACCTCCAAACCCTTCCACCCGGAACAAGGCCAGCACCCTGACGAACCTTTATTTCATCGCTCAGTCCTTTGTTGAGTGACGAATTTCATAATTTCGTCACGCAGTGTCTTTTTTCATGACCTTTGCGCGACGATTGCTGCACAATGAAGATTTTGTCGCCTAATTTCTTATGCAACGGAATTTCTCTTTGCACGACCAAGTGTCCTTCGTTGCGGAAACTGTTAAATGTAGTAGAGAAACCGTGTACACTACTAATTGTCTTCTTGCATATATAGTTATATATATGGATGCCTTAATGACAAGAGAACTCTAAAACGAAAACCTGTTGGTTCATCACTGTCAAAAAGGGGCAATTTGGTCATGTATAATGGGGTTGTTCTGTTGTGAAAGGAGATTAGGACTAAGATTGAGAGGAGGAGGTGTGTTGATTAAGATGTTTTTCTAATTGAGGACAAGACAAGGGCACATGGAGAGTGGAAGTGTCCCCTCTTCTCCTCAAAACTTCTTTGGTTTGAGAGGGTACTATGCCTCTCAATTCCCTTATTGTAAAGACAACATGGTCCTTTTCATTTTTGTTCTTTCCCCTGTCCAATGGACATACCTTACCCTCTCCTTTATATACATTTTTGTTCCCTTCCTCACTACTCAGCTAACAATGAAACCTTGATACAAAACGAACACCCTCTTCACCACACTATATTTCTCTAGTTAATTTTAAATATATATATATATATATATATAATTATATTTCACGTCCGTGATGATATATAAAAATAATATGAAAACAAAACAGTATATTCCTAATTGCACAGTAGAATCTGTCTTCACACACTCAACTTGTCATATCTCTCTCAACTGGGACACATTACTTTACTGAAGGATAAAGATTAACATAAAAGTTTGAAAGAGAAATGGAAAAGAAAACACAAACTAATAGATAACTTGATTGATTCCACTTATTAATTCATATGGGAAGGGCAATTAAGTACTAAAGAGAGACGCAATTAAACACTAACCAAACAATTACGTACTAAAGAGATAGATGAGCTTTCTACCCAAAAAAAGAGAGATAAAGGAACTAATTAAGACAATGCGTGAACTTGTTTAATTTTCCAGAAACATATCAATAGCTTTGTTGGTACAAGGGCATATTTGAAGCACGTAACCCACCAAACTAGTTGTTGATAGAGTGATGATATTTATATCTTAGGGCTAACTATATTTCCCACCCTTTATGTTTGGGATGATTTTCAAAATGGATCGCGAGGTTTCAATTTGCTCATATTGCCTCTTAAAGTTTTGAAATTGTATCAATTTATACCTTTGACTCATAAATTATTTGAATCTTCATTAAATTGATGACATGATGAACATAAAACCCTTAACTGGGTTAACATGTACGCTATATTTGCACCACATAACCTAAAAAACTCATCAGTTTAATGCATAACTAGATGTTCAAATATAGGAAAGGTGTAAATTGCTATAATTTCAAAATCTTAGAGGGTAATATGAGAAAATTAAAACCTCATGGTTCAATTTAAAAATCACCTCAAACTTTGAAGTTGTAAAATATAGTTAGCCCTGTATTCTACAAATAAATGCGTGAACTCTTCAAATAAAAATTAATAAAAAGAAGAAATACATGTAGTAATTTTCTTGAAACTTCTAAGCACATGAAATTATATTTTGGTTTTAGCTTTCCAAACATACCACTCTATTGCAAGTGGCCCTCTACCCCAGTGATGAAGAGCAACGTTGTCCTTGCATCATGGTGTGGTTTAAACCCAATTGCCTCCCTAATCTAATATCTAATTTAATAAATATATGGTTTGAACAAAAAAAAAAAAAAAAAAAAAAAATATCACTCTGTTTTGGGGTGGAGGGCTTGGGCAACATGTCACTATCTTGTCCGCCATCTCTATATATACTCACTAAACCTTATCTTTCTTTTATATCATCATTCTATGTTTTCAAGCAACAAGTACTACCACCATTATACTTGTTTCTAACCCTATCTCCAAAATCTTCAGAACGCCCTTAATTTTCTTCTAACCACACAAAACACAGCCCCCATCTCTCTCTTTCCAGTTGAACACAAAAACTCTACTTATCAATATGCATTTAAAACTTTCTGATGCCTTCAAATCCCACCCTGTCAACCTCCAACTCAAACACCCAGATTTCAACTCATTACATGAATTGCCAGACTCCTATGCATGGACAAACAATGATGATCACTACCCATCTTTCCTAACCTCATTTGGGGCAGACGATTCTGTTCCGGTCATCAATCTCTCTGACACCAATGTTCTTAAGCTCACAGGCCATGCATGTAAGACTTGGGGAGTCTTCCAAGTCACTAACCATGGCATCCAACAGAAGCTTCTTGATGACATTGAATCCGCAGGCAAAAGCCTTTTCTCTCTACCAGTCCAGCAGAAGCTCAAAGCTGCCCGATCGCCAGATGGCATTTCCGGCTATGGTTTTGCTCGGATATCTTCTTTTTTTAAGAAGCTCATGTGGTCGGAGGGTTTCACTATTGTTGGCTCACCAGTTGACCATTTTCGCCAACTTTGGCCCCAAGATTACGACAAATTCTGGTATTAATCACATTAATTCAATAACATCAGTAGTAATATATATGCTTCATTTGTTTTTTTTGGGTTCTTGTTTTGGGTGGAGAATACTATATGGCCATGTAGGCAAAATGCCCATTTTTCTGTACCATAATGCAAGTTGCAAAAGATTACAGTGATGAGAGCTATGGACCCACTAAGAAGATTTGGTGCGTGAGAATATCCAACATGGCCTCTTTGAGACTAGGAGTTTAGAAAGAGCTAAAAGCCTATAAGTGTTCTTTTGACAAATAAAATTGTTTAGTTACTGCTATGACAAAAAAATAAAAATTTAAAAGTAATTGTGGCTCGTAAAAGCACTTTCTGAATGCTTCTTCAGAACGCACGTCTAAGTGTTGTTTCATAAAGACTTTGATTTTTTTTTTTAATTATTCATTTTTATGTAAATATTTCATCCCATTTTTAATAAAAAAAACTTTTAGCAAAAACGGTTATGAGTGCATGTGCACTCTAGAGATGCAGTCCCAAAGAGACTAAATCTTCTTAATATCATCTTTGTTAGGTATGTATTATACAATGTTTTGATTTTTATTTTCTCTTGTTTTGTTCTTGCAGCAATATCATTGAGGAATATGAGAAGGAAATGAAAATGCTTGCTGGGAGGTTGATGTGGCTTATGCTTGGCTCACTAGGCATATCCATGGAAGATATCAAATGGGCTGGCTCGAAAGGTGAATTCAAAGGTGCATCAGCTGCCTTACAATTGAATTCTTACCCCGCTTGTCCAGAGCCAGATCGGGCCATGGGTTTGGCTGCACATACGGATTCTACCCTCCTCACAATCCTCTACCAAAGCAACACTAGTGGTTTGCAAGTGCTTCGGGAGGGCACCGGGTGGGTCACGGTTCCACCAATGCCCGGTGCTTTGGTGATCAACGTTGGTGATCTCTTCCATATATTATCTAACGGGTTGTACCCAAGTGTCCTTCATCGGGCAGTTGTGAACCGGACCCAACATCGTCTATCTGTCGCTTACTTGTTCGGCCCCCCGGCCAGTATCCAAATCTCACCCCTATCAAAATTAGTAGGTCCAAGTCATCCTCCTCTCTACCGCCCAATTAGTTGGAATGAGTACCTTGGCACTAAAGCAAAGCATTTCAATAAGGCACTTTCATCGGTCAGACTTTGTGCTCCTCTAAATTCATTAGTAGATGTAAATGATCACAACAGCGTAAAAGTCGGCTAGATAAATAATTTTTTTACATTTTCTACAAAGGAAGTACAATTTGTTGGTGTGAATTTTCTGCGCTTTTTCCAATATATTGGTTGGCCATGTTCTTGGGGATTCTCGGATTTCATGTCTTGGACCACTGTAGGCTGCGACACAAAAAAGGAATAAACAAAATAAATTAGACATTACATTCCAATGGAAAATTTGAATAAGAAAATCTGCAAGAGCCAAAGCAAATGCATCAAATATATTAAATCAAGTCATATAAAGGGATGCAACAAGGAGCCCCTCTGGTTGCTAGTGTCCTTTGTCCTAGGGTTTGAAAGAGATAGAAGGAAAATTGCTCAATTTGAATATTCCAATAAGAGACATGTAAAACGACATTTTATCTATGCCCAGGATACAAAGGGAGATCCCCTCCAAAGAATAAGACATGAATCAAAATAAAAAGGGTAAGTTGCATGCATACTAATGTTTTAGCTAGACTAAATTTGCAAGCTAAATTTGTAAACTAAATAATGTGCACCAATGAGAAATAAGCATGTAAAACAATATTTTAGTGATAATCCAATCATTAAATTTCATGTTATTTAATTTACATATTTAGTCTCCCTAGCATTCCATTCTCATATAGCTTCGAAAATGATGTTGAAAAATGAAATCCAATGGACAAATAAAACCCCATCCTTTATTTCCCACAGATATATTAAAAGTTAGAAAAGTAAAATATGAAGCTATGAATGTCTCGAAATAAAAAGGGTAAGTTGCATGCATACTAATGTTAGCTAGATTTAATTTGCAAATTAAATTTGTAAACTAAATGATGTGCATCAATAAGAAATAAACACGTTAAACAACATTTTAGTGATAATCCAATAATCAACTTTTATATCATTTAATTTACATACTTAATCTCTCTAGCATTATCCTAATTCGACAAAGCTTCGTAGAAAAATGAAATCCAATGGACAAATAAAACCCCATCCTTTATTTCCTATAGATCTATTAAAAGTTAGAGTAATGTTAGAGAGATTAAATTTGTAGACTAAATTAGCAAACCAAATGATGTGTCACAAATAAAAAATGAGCACATTTATCAATAATTAAATAATAATCAAATTACCAACTTCTAAATCATTTAGTTCATAAAATCCAGTCTACAAATTTAATTACTCAAAAGTAAAACATAAAGCTATGAATTGCAATGATTGCCATGTTGATCTCAAGAATGTCAGGCCAAAGTTGTCGCTTTTGATAATCGCCTTTTGTGTGATTGAACTCAATAAATGGGAATGCATAATTATTTTGCAAAAGACATAAACATATATATTGTCAGGCATTCTCTATGCCCTAAATTGTCCTGTGTGCTGCATGAGCTGATGGCATTGCATCTTCCCACCACGTGCTTCTGGGCATGGCTAGCAACCAACCCTAAATTGCTGGCTTTCCATTACAATCATGGGACGAGGCAGCTTTTTTACCTTTTTGGCTTAAAATGTTTTCTATTTTCTCATATTTTCTCAATTAAACTACGTTTGTAGAGCTATTGCTAGGTTTTACCATAAAGTACTTATAGCTGTTTGAGTTGGACATAATTAAGAATGGATAAAAACATAACAAATTGAAGGACCATGCGGTCTTGGTTCAAAAATTCAAACTAGGAAGAAAGGCCATATCACGATTTCTAAGGTGCGGATTGAACTTTGCGGACCTTAGGTGTGGACCAAATTCGTTCGTTCGTTGGATCAAATCCGAACGGTTAAAAACAGATCTATCAAAATGAGCTTACGATAAAATCTAGTCCTAAATGATCCATCATTATTTAAAAGCGGTACCCACTGTTTTAAAGTTTGGTATTTAAACTTTCCCTCTCTCACCAACAGTGAACTTAAAGCAAAACTCTCATCTCCTGCAAGTCATTTGAAATTCCTACCAGTCGAAAACTTCATACCTGTTCGAAAATTTCCTTGCCGTTCGAAACCCATTGGTTGGTACTTGTGTTGTGCTTGTCATCACTAACCTCACTGCAGTTCCACGCAAATGTTTAGAAAATCAGGCGATTTTGGTTCGAGGGAGTCCAGTTGGTTCCATAGAAAGGACGTGGTGCTTGCTTGATTCGAGTTGGGTTCACGGTCCTTGCTTTCACAATATTCAACGTCATACATCATTCCCCAAAGTAAATTTGAAATTTGGTAGTTAGGAAATTCGGAACCCTAAAAATAAATTATGTTGTTTATGTAAATTTGATTAATTAATCTAGTTTTTAATGTTAATTATGCATGTTGAAATTAGTTGAAATTGGTGGATATTTGTGGAAATTTGGGAAATTTGTGATAGGTGTGGGTTTATGAAATGTTGTTGACAGGCTGTGTATAAGGGCTAGGTTGTTAAGTATTGTTTTGTTGAAGTTATATTCTTGAGTTGGTATTGATTTGTGTTGAAATATTTTTTAATTTTATCAATTATCTTGATATTTCTTAAGTCATGAAGCTCTATTCATAGTATATGTATTGTTATGAAAACTTGTTGATAGATTTTGTTAAGCGTATATATTGTTGAATTTGGTTGTCTTCATGGTATATGTTGTTAAATTTGGTTGTGTTGAATGTTTGTATTGTTATGTGTACATGAGATGGCAACTCAAGGGGTTCAACTAGCAATAAAAGAGGAAGAATTGTATAGGGGAAGAACCTTTCTCAAGCAAGTCAAGTGCTAGGAGTCATGCATCAAAAGTTTAATGACGCACAACTGGTTGCCTTTAGGACATCATGCTTTGGACACTTAGTGTCACGCCTCAATCTTGACATACGTCCATGATCGACACGTGACATCACCATATACCTGTATCTCTAACATATCCCGCCTCCAAGATATGGGCAAAGCACAACTTGAGATCCAACTACGTAATGATTTTCCGTATACTTTATGGCTGTATCTAACATCCTCGTTAGACTACCTAGATACCCTAAACAGGGATCAAGCCATTCGTAGTTCGTCATTCACTAAACTTTGACACTTATCCCAATACATTTTAATAGGAAAGTGTATCATTCCTCAATCAATTATTTGGACTTGACAGTCATGAATTAATTGATTCAAGCTACATAACGAACCCACATGACATTCAAGATTTCCATTCGATCCATCATAAAATCACTATGTTTTCAACATAATATCGCAATCCAAACCATGTAACGTATCAAAGGATCAACAAAGCACAACATTTTCCTCTAGCCACATTCATTAACTAATCTAATCATATTAATAACAAATATATCCAACATCATACCACAATCACTTCAATTAATCAATTCCATGAATCAAGGAGGCATGATATTAATATTTAATTATGTTAATCAATCAACAAGATCATGTATCACCTCACAAAGTTTAATAAAAGAAGTCTATACAATTACCCACTTAGATTATAAATAATAACATGGTAAATCTAATTTATAAACACGATGCCTACTGTGAGCAATTACTATTCACTCGAATCTAAGGCCAGACTAACCTTATGGAAATGAGCAAGAGTAGGGATTTCGGATCTCTTAACGGAATTCAACTAAAATAAGGTCGCCTATCAAAATGTACCAAGTACAACTAATCATCATCACCTAGTATGCATATGGTCCCCCATTGCAGATATACCAAACAGAACCATAAGCATGATCTAAACTTGTTGGCAGTGATCACCTATCGCAGATGTACCAAGCATGATCACTGGTCCCCCATCGTGGATATACCTAGTAGGATTGTATCCTATATCTCTAGGTAGTGATCACCTATTGTGGATATACCAAGCAGGACTGTATCTTATACCTCTAGGTAATGATCACCTATCGTGGATATACCAAGTATGATCACCCGTAGAATGAGTATGGTCCCCCATTGCAGATAAACCAAGCAGAACCATAGACATAGTCTAATGTGTGGTCCCCTATCATGGATATACCAAGCAGGACCATCCAAGTACCACCTGATGCAATCAATTCAACTTATAGTCTACCTCTACCTCAATCCCCATGATTTACAATGTAGGCACCTGCACTATCAACTTCTCATGACCACTAACTATCTTGTCATACAAGCATAAAAGTTCTATCTAATACTTCTAATCAGATTCTAGGTTCACATCGTCATAAAAACAATCATACACATCATACTAATCATACAATTCAAACCAAATTTCATAAACATTTCCAAGCTACAGTCGAATCATAATTAACAACAATAGATTGATGGCTAAAAATAAAAATAACAATTTAATAGAAATCACATTGAATAAACAAGTATAACTTAATATGGTGCCACTAGTACATAAATTAAGATGCATGTCATCAGGATGAGCCCATTAAGCTCCATGCAATCTCAACAACACTCTAAGATAGACGACACAGTAGAATAATTCGAGCTAGTTGAACAAAAAGTCAACCATCAATCAAAGTCGACGGTAGGGTCCACAACCCTAGTAATCTAATTCGAAAGTGTTGGAAATATGCCCTGAAAGTCAATCTTTGGAAGAAACCTTTTAGGACAAATGAATCGATGTATGGATGACTCTTATACATCAAATGGCAAAGATACTAATTAGGACTATCTCAATAAACGATATATGTCCTAATTAATGAATCCATGGACAATGGATCGATTGAAGAAGTAATCTAATGATGTTAGACTACAGAGACCTTCTTCACATAACCATTATGTCCAAAAGGTTCCTGGTCATTGGATTGTCGGAGGGATACTGACAATGCTTAGACCGGTACATACTGTGTCCGCTTCAAATGGAAGAATGGAAAGTCTCATCCCATTTGTGTAGTGACACTAAGACAAGTATGTAGGTGCTTATTAAGGGAATGAGTTCACTGAACACAATCGAATGAGAGTACTTGCATGGAGGTCTACTCACATGTCAAGCAAGTAACTCTAATGGTTGGAATAATGTCAGTAGTCCTTTGACCTGAGGCATCGTCGTTGTGTTGTGGCTAAGTACTTAATCTTTGATTGTGTCAAAGTCACCCCATTCGCGGATGTCCACAGCATAATTGGGGTTAAGCCACTTAGTCATGAAGGCAAGTGAATGCGCAACAAGGAATCTCTAATCCTCGATAAGAGAGGAAGAATACTCTAAGATATGATTCGGGAATCTTCGGCCGAAGTATCGAGCGTAATAAAGGAAAGCG